GCCAAAGCTGTGACGCGGGCCACGGTAGGAGCGAGATTGCTCAAGACGAGTCATCCTCTCGTTGAGCTGGCAAACGTCATCTCGGATGCACGTGAGAGTATCGAAGATCTTCTTCACCCAAGAAGGTTCCGGTGCTTCTTCTCTCGGACGAGTCCTCCGTTGACGAGTGACGCGCTCCGTGGCTCGACTTCCTCCGGCTAGAGATGACTCAGCTTGATTCTCGTTTTGGCTTTCTTCTTCTTCTTCGGTGATTATCAGGTCCAAATTTGGTGCACCATCGCCCTCCTCTCGATACACGATCCGGGAAAACTTGGCTTCAGTGATGAAACACGTCTTCTTGACCGGCACCTGAGTGTCCCGAGTAAAGTCTATTTTGCAATGAGCAAGGATATGCATAATGGGGATGGCAAAATGGAGATGGGAGAAACGAGTGCCATCGCTAAGTGCAACGATAAAGAAGTGAACCCAATCAAATTTGACATCGTTCAACAGGACGTGAAACAAACGAATATCGTCCTTGTTGACAACGCCATGGTTCGAATCACAGGGCAACAAAACATATGAGAAGATGTATTGTTGGACGCGTTGAATTAAAGTGAGATTAATGACACTCGGGTTGCTAGAGTTTCTAAACTTGAGGTCACGATGATCTAACCCGAGTTGTCGCCAAATTGCCTCATCTTGGAATGTTTCATCCAAGTTTTCGGTAATTTCACCGCGACGAAGGCCAAACAAGGAAGTCAAACCGGCACCGTCAATGAAAACGGTTTTGCCGTCAACATAGGAAATGAGAGATGGCGAACCTCCCTTAGTGGGACGAAGATTTGCATAAAATTGACGTATAAGATTTGGACAGAAAAATTCATACGTCAAATGAATGAAACGAAGCAAACCTTGCTGAAGAAACATAGACTTACTCGGAGCATAGATCGCCGATTTGAAGAGGTCCTTGTTCACGATCTTGGGAGAGACGATCTCCTTCGTGAGGAAGATGTTGTGGAACCTCTCGACGGAAGCTCCAGTGTTGAAGGCGAGACCCGTTTGAATGTGAATATACTTGCTCCCTTCACGACGCCATGGCCTCTCATTCTTCTCTGCGGCGGTTTCTTGACCCGAGGAAGCGTTCTTGCACCTTGGCATCCTTCCTCTTTGAAATTGATGAAATTGGGTGAGAAGATTGGTGAGAAGATGGAAGAAAATTGAGAGGAATTGAAGAGGAGAAGGTGTTAGGGTTTCTGATTTCTTAACAGAGAATGGCGAAGAAGACGAAGTCTAGGCTGGATATAGGGCAAAAAATCGAAAATTAATCGATTAAAATAAAGTATTTAATCGATTAAGGAACACAGCCGAGGCAAAATCGATTAAATGAATCATATTAATCAATTAGAAGAAGTCTCTTTTCAAGCTATTAAATGATTAAACAGAGATGGTTAATCGATTAAGATGGACAGTTGAGTCTAATCGATTAATTAAAAAAATTAATCGATTTCGGTGAATCAGCGCTAAAATGTTTTTGGATATTAATCGATTAAAAAGAAACGCGTAATCGATTAAGAGGAACATAGGCGACTAATCGATTTCTCTTCGAGGAGTAATCGATTACAGCTTGGTTTGACAGAAGAAAAAGCATCAAGTCTAATTCGGTTGAATACCAAGGGAAGAGATACCTACAATAAAAGCCCTGCAAAAAGAATTTATCGCGCCTCCG